GGTTCTGTGTGGGAACAAGTATGCGAGGCTTCTGGCCCAGGGGGTGAGAGCTCAGGCTGCGAGAGGGTTGGCAGTGGCTGTTTGGTTGGTGAGTGCACCACAGGCTCCATGTGTGCTCCTTCATTTCCCGACACATAAAACCAAAAAGAAGCCAGAGCACTTTGAGTAGCTGTTAGGGAACCAAAACAAACTACCTGGAATTATTACAGAAATTGGTGGGACCAACAAATTTAACTGAATAAAAACCACTTTGCATACTTTCCAGGAAATACAATGAGTATATTCCACCTTAGAGAAAAAAGAAATTATAATCAAGTGTTTGTTTGCTTTTGTCTAACCCTAACATGCTTCTCTGGTCAGCTCCCTGTTCACTTCACCCAACAATTTGTTTTTATCTTTCTCCCTTTTCAGTCCTCAGAGCCAAACCTCCTCCCTTCCCTGTCACTCTCAGGGTGGCATTGGCTGCTTTGTTAGAAAGGCTGCAGACACGATCAGAAGACTTCCGCACTCACATCACCAAACCCTGACCCTCCTCTCATTGTGCTCGGCCTTTTCTCGAATTTGAAAAGTCGGTCTGCTCATTCTCTCTCAGTGTCAAGAAGGCCTGTTCATCGCACTCTTCTCCAGAAACGGAACTCATGCTCATGTCAGAACTATGGATAAAATAAGGCATCTACTCTGTGCCCTCCCGCTTTCCCGTGGCCAACCCGCCCTCCGCTACTGCACAGCAGAATTAGTCCATGTCCCCACTCCCACTCATCGGTTTTACCCCCAACACTCCACTGAAATCCTCACCATAAAAAGTTTCCATGTTTCCAAATCCAGTGGACATTTCTTTGTCATCACTCTTCTTAACTTCTCCCAGTCTCCAACAGTTTCAAGCACACACACACACACACACACACACACACACACACACACACCACATCCCTTTTATCCTTATTTTAAAATGTCAGTTATAAAGAGGATAAATGATATTTCATTGAATATCATTGTGTTTCTCTTAAAACAAACTCATTTATTGCAAGGACATTACTTATAATTACTATTCATTTTTAGTATATATTAGACTAAATTAATTTCTAATTTTTATTTCAATGAAATAAAACTCCTTAAGTTGATGTTTGAAAACCATATGTATAGGTAGGTTACATTACTTCTGAATTTCATTTAAGGTCAGTAAAAAGGGATTTTTGACATGTTTGTTAGGGAAAGTTGGAGGGCGGGTGGGACTGCATTTCTGCTCTCCTGCAGAGTCTGGGACAGTGGCCCAGGCAGGTGCGCGGCCTGTCCGAGGGCCACTTCAGTGCTTGTGGAAGAGATTCAACTTGTCAAATAGTGAGATGATAATTTCTCTCTTGAACTAATATGAGTTATTCTGGTTGCTCCTTAGTTCTCATGTCAGCTACCTGAATAGTGATTTTCTTCATCAAAATATTTTGTCACTTCTTTTTACACCTAACTCTCCCAGCGTTCTGTGTGGGAAGACACAGAGTAGAATATGACCCTCCGAGTGCAAGGTTCCTCTTCCGGTGACAATCACTGCGGTAGAGGTGTTTTCCAGCCACGACTCTTCCTTTGGAGGATGATTATCATGGGCTCAGGACGGAAGGCCCTCCTTCTGATTACCGTTCCCAAGAAATGGTTTTAGCCATTAGTCTGCTTCCTGCCAGGAGGTCAGTTCTGGCTGCATCAGGGAGTGGCCTGATGCATGATGGGAGGTCTCTGGATTGTTCTCCTGGTGGACCCAGGCCTATGGATGGGGCCACCGGGGGCATCGGCATACATGGCCTTGCCTCTGCTGCCGGCTTCCTCCCTCCTTTGAGAGAACAGGCTGCAGCCCATGACGTGTGCAGAGGGGAGGGCTCACAGGCAGCCAGGCACCAGGGTCCTGGGGAAGGCTCGTGGGCAGAGAGGACTGTGTGCACTGGTGTGTGGGCCGCTGGGTACAGCTCAGCCGACAAAGGACTCCATCTAAACCCTGTTACAGTGTCTGCAGATCAGACCCACCTGTCACCTGGGAGCTTGTTAGAAATGCACGGCCTCCAGCACCGTATGATTTCACTCTTGTGCGGAGTCTAATGAACAAAATGAGCCATAAGCCAAGGAGAGACAGACCAAGGCGGAGAACAGGCTGACAGCTGGTGGGGGCTGGATGGCGGGGTGGAAGGATTGAGGAAAAAAAGAAAAACTCATGGACACAGATCACAGCGTTGGGTGGTGGGTGGGGGAGCTGGAGGAGGGTATGGGGGGGTAAATGGTGACGGAAGGAGACGTGGCTTGTGGGGTGAGCACACAATAGTGTACAGGTGGTGTGTTGTGGAATTGCGCATGTGTAACCTGTATCATTTTGTTCACCAGTGTCACCCCAGTACATCATTCAATTAAAAAAGAAAGAAGTACAGGCCTCCGCCTCTACCAACGAACCAGAACGTGTGTGAGCAAGGCCCCTAAGCACCTTCCATGCACAGTCCAGTTCTAGAGGCTCCGCTGCCCTGGCCCACATGCCCGGCTGCAGCCTCAGACCGCAGTGCACACACTCTCTCTCCGGGCAGCCTTCCCGGCCCTCCGTGGCCCTGGTGCTCCTCTCACCCCCTGCACTGTGTCACCCGGGTCCTCAGGTTTCCTCTCTGGCCTGTCGCTGCAGCTCTGCCCATCTGCCTTCCCTGGAGAGCTGTAGCCCCGGTCATTCTGTGCTCACCTCCTATGTTGACTGACTCGGTGAAGGAAGGAATGAGTGGGTAGGTGAGCGACAGGACAGAAATAAAAGCCTGGAATTCAAAGGGTAGATATTTATTTTTCTCTGCTTCAGGTAAAGCTCTACAGGTAAAAATGACTTTCAACGCATCCATTTTAAACATAACCTCTGACGTGGCAGTCAGGATTCCCCCAGCTCGCTGCTCAGGCACTTGTGTACCCAGCGGCAAACACTTTCCCGGGCTCCGAGAGAGGCTCGCTCTCTTGGGGATGCTGCTGCCAGCTGCTTGGTGAGGTAGGGAAGAGCAGCAGACACAAGGTCAAGGCCACGCCCACGCTCACAGCCACCTGCCTTTTTGAGCTGCTCATCCAGCTGGTGAGTGGGGAGGTCCTCTGTGGAGCCTGTGCCTCCCGCCACCCACCGGGGCACCCTCTCCCTCCTGAGCACCTGCAGGGGGTGTGGCGGGAAGGGAGGCCGCGCACTGGGCTCGGCTGTGTCGGCATCTTTGGTACAAGGACCAGTGCCCAGGCCCAGGGAGGAGAAGGAAGGCAGCCAATACCCACTGGGGCTGGTGGCGGCCATGTTCTCCCTGCTGCCTGTCAGCAGGAAGCATGGGCCCTCATGCTGCCCGGCAAGTGCTGAAACCGTGCTTCACCCGCCTACTGGCAGAGACCTCTGAAGGCCACGGAGGCTGCTCCCACTGGGCCCGCTAACTGGGAGGCAAGGAGCGGCAGGTGGCAGCATCTGCAGGAAGCGGCAGCTTTGCTGGCTCTGTTCTCCTCCCTCCCCCCTGCCCCTTGCCCCCCCAGTCACCGGCCTGATGAGATGTCTTGCACTTGGCTTTTCCCTCTTTTCACTAAGGGACCCTGATGAGGTCACGGAGCCTCCCCGGAGAGGCAGGGTGCCCTCTCCCTGCAGCGCTGCCCGCTCAGCCTTTGTACCCGGACTCTTCCATCCTGAGATGCCCTCTGGCCCGGAGACCTAAGAGATGTGGACATGACCCCATTGCCCGATCAAAGCAGAGTGCAGTGCGTCTTGCCGAGGGTCTCCGACAGGAGCTCCCACCCTCTGTGTCCCGGGGCTTTGTGTGGAAATGACAGACACCTTGGCTCTGCCAGGAGCTGAGGGGGGTCAGGGGAGAACTGTGTCCACAGGGGAAGTAAACAGTTTCAGGGTGAATCAGGCAGGGATGGCATATGACTCAAGGGCACATGTCCTGTGGCCCTGGCTGTGGTCCAGCCTCCTATGCTGTGTGGCAGCAGATTTCAAGTTTGCAGTTTTGGTGGAAAAAAACGCCCAAGCTGTTTTGAATGTACCCTCCTTTAAGAGGACTTGGAATTTTCTGGGTGCTCAGAGGTAGGCTCTGTGCCCCGGGGCAGCAGAGGGCATAGGAAGAGACCCCTGTGTTTCCAAGACCAATTTAATGACGACATTACATTCCCAGGGGCGGGGGGGGGAGGGGGGGGAGGTCCTGAGAGAGGCTGCCTCGCTGAGCAAGCCTTGGGCACCTCCCTGTGCACGGACATGGTGGGGCCTGCTCCAGGCTCCCAGCAGACACTCAAACTGATGACCTAAAGGGAGAAGGCACTGTGGTCCAAGGACCGGTCATCACCAGTTTACAGGAGGAAAAACCTTCCACTTGTTCTCAAGTGATCAGTGCCGCCAGGAGGGAGGTGCCTTCCCCCAACCATAGGAGGACCCACCTGCAGCGCAGGGTGATGCCTGGCTTTGCGGGAAAACCTCCCAGCTCAGGGCAGATATGGGGGAGCCATTCAGCTCAACCTCCCTCCCCTTCCCCTTCCCCTCCTGGCAAAGGAAGGGCCTCAATGGGTTCCCATGGCACAGACACCAGGATCTCCCCCCCTCCCCCAGCCCTGTCTGCCTTGCCACCTTGGAGCCCAGCTCTGCAAACACCGTGGGAAAGCAGCAAAGGCGGGGGGGGGCTTGTGAGGCACAACTGGGCCAACTCCACCAAGGACAAGCACGCCATGGCCTCTCCTGGACTGACAGTGTGTGCGCATCTCTGCAGACGCCAGTGGACCCGCTGTCCTCCTAACACCTGTCACTGGCTTTTAGATCTGCAGGATGGTATCTCAGGGACTGGACATTTTAGCTAGGAAGTATAATTGTAAATCCTGTTATACATATGAAATATATATGAACCTACGTGTCACACACACGCGTGTGTCATCTGAATATTACTGAATACATTTGCGTCCCAGGAGTTCGGGCTTCAAACCACCGACGTGTGCAGTTACACCAACCACACCAGGAAAGCAGCCCCGACAGGCGCTGCGCATCCTCACAAGTGGCTGGTCTTCTGGCCCAGGGCGTGGTCCACGGGCAGCGTGAACTTGACGGCGCTGTCCTTCTCCCAGCCCCTCCGGATCCTGGCGAGTCTGCGGCTTACGCAGGGCAGGAGGAACAGGGCCTTGGCCAGGATGACGAGGCAGGGCACCAGCAGGGTGAGCGTGAAGGTGGGAGGCAGGTAGAACTTGTAGTGGCTTTCCTCGAAGGCGCGGGTCCAGCCGTAGGTGAGCGTGTGCAGGGTGCTCAGCACCAGGGCCACGAAACCCAGAGAGGACTGCGGGAGAGAGAAAGCTGGAGTGAGGGCCAGGGCTGGCGGGAACAGTGGTCCACCAACGGCCCACTGCTTGCCCGGCAGAGGAGAAGGAAGGAGTGTGGCTTTAGCCATCAAGGTTCTGGGTTCAAATCCAACCTTATCGCTTGCTCTCCCCATGATCTTATTAGCACTATCTAAACTCTCTGAGCCTCAGTTTCCCCAACAGAAAAACAGGAATAATACCTCTACCCTGAAGGCATATAAGGACTGATTGATTCATATGGATTCAATAAAGTAACAGTTATTCGTACCTTTGGTGGCTAGCAGAGGACTTTTTAATTTATTTTTGACTTTAAATAATTTTATACTTTTTAATTACAGTTGCCATACATTAGCTTCAGATGTACACACCAGTGATTAGACATCATACAACCCACTAAGTGATCACCCAGATAAATCCAGTACCCATCTGACACCATACATACATTAGAATATTATTGACTACACTAGTGGCCCGGTGCAAGAAATTCGTGCATGGGGGTGTCCCTCAGCCCAGCCTGAACCATCTCCAATCTGGGACCCCTGGAAGGATGTCCTACTGCTGGTTTACAGGGATCAGGCCTAAACCAGCATCCTTCTTGAAATCTGGGACTGCTGGCTCCTAACTGCTCACCTGCCTCCCTGCCTGATTGCCCCTAACCACTCTACCTGCTGGTCTGCTCGCCTTTAACTGCCCCCTGCTGCCAGTCTGCTAGCCCCCAAATGCTCTCCTGCCAGCCTGATCACCCCCAGCTGCCCCTGGTGCCAGTGTGCTCACCCCTAATTGCCCCCCCTGCCCACTGATCACCCCCAATTGATCCCCCTGCTGGCCTGCTCACCCCCAACTGATCCCCCTGCTGGCCTGCTTGCCCCCACCTTCCCTTACCACTGGCTTCCTCACCCCCAACTGCCCCCCTACTGGCCTGCTCACTCCAAACTCCCCCCCACCCCTATTGTCCTGATCACTTCCAATTGACCTCCACTGATGGCCTGCTGGCCCTAACTGGCCCCCTGCTGGTCTGCACCACCATGGCTTTGCCCAGAAGAATGTCCGGAAGGTCTCCTGGAAGGTCTCCCAGTATAATTAGCATTTTATTAGTATAGATTCCCTATGCTATACTTTACATCCCTGTGACCATTCTGTAACTACTAATGTGTACTTCTAAATCCCTTCACCAGCTAGCTGGTGTGGCTCTCTTGCTGCTTTAAAGATTCTCTCTCTGTCTTTAACCTTTAGCATTTTAATTATAATGTGTCTTGGTGTAGGCCTCTTTGGGTTCATCTTATTTGGGACTCTCTGTGCTTCCTGGACTTGTGTGTCTAATTCTTTCACCAGGTTAGGGAAATATTCATTTATTATTTCTTTAAATAGGTTCTCAATCCCTTAACCTCTTTCTTCTCTTCTGCTACCCCTATGATACAGATGTTGTTAGACTTTATGTTGTCCCAGAAGTCCCTTAAAGTATCCTTATTTTTAAAATTTCTTTTCTTTTTGCTGTTTTGATTGAATATTTTCTGCTACCTTGTCTTCCAAATTGCTAATTCTATCCTCTGCTTCATTTAATTTGCTGTTAATTCCTTCTAGTGTATTCTTCATTTCAGATATTATATTCTTCATTTTTGACAGATTTTTTGTTATGGGATCTATGCCCATTTTTATGCTTGCTATCTCTTTGTTGAAGTTCTCACCAAGTTCCTTGAGCATCCTTATAACCTGTGCTTTGAATATTGTTTCTGGTAGATTGCTTGCCTCCATTTTTAGTTGTTTTTTTTTTCTTCTTTTTTTTTCCCCCTGGAGTTGTATCTTCATCTTTTATTTGGGCCATGCTCCTTTGTCTCCTCATTTTGGCTGTCTCTCCGTGGCTTTTCTGTGTATTCGGTAGATCTGCTTCAGTACTGGCCTGGTGGCAGTATGTAGTAGTTGTCCTGTGGGGCCCAGTGGCACAGTTTCCTGGTCCTCTGAGCTGGGCTCTCCAGGAGTGTCCCTTGTGTGGGTTATGTGGACTCTCTGGTTGTAGTCAAGCCTTGATTGCTGCTAGCATGTCTATGTGAGTGGCTGACCCTCAGGCTGGCTGGCTGTGAGGATAGGCCATCACCACAGTGTATGAGCTGTTGTGTGGAGCTGAACCCATGACATGGAATTTGCTCCAGCAGGGTCAGGTACCTGCTTAGTCCTCCCTTTGGGTGTGCTACCTGTGGACCAATTGAGTGGTACTCTGTTGTGGTCTGAGGTCAGCCACAGGGTGTGTTGGTTCTGGGCCCTCTTCTGAGTGCTCAGCATGAGGCTGACACCCCTCACTCCTCAGGCAGGTGGGGGGGGGGCAGCCCGTTTTGTGTCTCTGCCCCTCCTTGACGAGGCTTCTTTATATCTTCAGGCATATGACTTCTGTTCAGCTAGTCTTCAGATGGCTCTCCAGGTTGATGGCTCTGTAATTTAGTTGCAATTCTGATGTGGTCATGAGAGGAGGTGAGTGCAGCAGCCACCTACTCTGCCATCCTGGGCCCTCTCCTGCAATCTAATGCTGTTTAACTGGCTTAATTAGGAGCAGTTAGCCTGGCCCAAACCAAATTCAAACAATACCCCTCCCACCACCCAGACTAACAAAAATCCAAATTTAATACTTTGAAAATGGCCTCGGGAACAGAAGGATAAATGTACGCATAAGTCACCTCTATGGAACAATGCACTGTTTTGAAAGCTTTTAGCTAAGTAAGTCTGTAAGGACCAGGAAGGGTCGGCTGGGCCCACTGAGGGCCATGGCCTCTCCATAGCCAAGTGAGAAGCCTGGTGGCTTGCTGGGTCATGTGTCGCAGGGAAGGAGTTGGGGTTCGCTTGCTCCTCACTGGCAGTGTTGACTTTATGGAAGATGGTAGCTTGCCTCAGCAGTCAGGCAGCCACGGGCCTGTGACTTTTACACGTCTTCAGCTCATGCACTCTCCTGTCCTCAACTCAAATACTACCAGTGACCACAGGACGTGAACACAGACATGTGAGGACACAGTGGCTCTGAGAGGCTAAAACACTGTCTCATGGCACAGGGTCAGTGAGTGGTGGTCATAGGACTGAAACTCAGGAGTGTGCCGCTCCCTCAGAGGGACTGCATCATGCACACCCACGAGGCACCCAGGAGCCAGCAAAAAACAACTTCCAAAGCGATCCAAGCCACCCCAGGCATCTGAGCTCATAGGTCAGGGGTGAGTCTGCGTATTTCTCGAAGAGAGCTCTGTGACTTCAAACTTCTTTAATGGTGGCTCACGGTAAGAATCACACATCACTGCCCAGTACACATCCAGGCATGACACATGTATCTATAACTACCAAGTCAACACGACATAAAAAAATGCAACATGCAAAGCACTCTGATGCTTTCTTCCCCATTCTATTATATTTCATGCTTTTAAAAAGCTGGCTGTGAGCCACTAAATTGATTTCATGACCACCAATAAGTATCAATCACAGTTCGCAAACAGTGACCTGGACCTTCTCCTGCCCAGGTTGGAGCTCCTTAACCTCACTCCACCTCCTACTGACGGGGATAATGGAAATGCGGCTACATGCTGTAAGATTAATAGCAAAATGCTTTTTCTCTTTCACACACAGCCCCTCACAGTGGCTAGGAGCATCCTTGTAGCGCACTGGCTCCATTTCACAAGAGGCGTGGGGGGATGTGCTCTGTCCCCGTGACAGCCAGGGCCCAGCTCCAGGGCACTCACAGCTCCCCCTCTCTTCAGCACCCCCGGGGGAGACAGGGCATTGCTTTCTGGACAGAATGCGGGCAATTGATCTCCACAAGTAAAGCCCTGCCTCTCTCCCCACCTCTGCCAGCCAATCCCGCTGCTCCTGCGGGGACAGGGGGACTTGCATATTTGTCTTTTCGATTCTTCAGTATGTAAAGCAGAGCGTGGATGCTGAGGCTCCGGTCCCTTTGGCTAACAAACCCTAATCCTCCGGCTTTCCTGGGCAGTCGGTGGCCGGCTTGTAATCTGCGGCTGCTTAAGGGAGCACCTTTCTGGAGAGAGGAGCAACTGCAGTCTGTTTTAATTGTGGATAAACCATGCACCCAGAATACTCGGGCAGGAACAGGAAAATCCCAGCTTTGGGTGTGCGACACATGCGGATTAGTGGCCCATAAATGAAATTCTTGTTCCCCTCTGATGCCGGCACGTGTCAGCCTTGAGCATTCCCCTGGGGGCCTGCTGAGATGAGTAGAGCCAGTGAGATTCAGAGATTGGCACACTGAAAAGGAAGCCGCCACCGCTCTGGTGGATTGTGAGCTGGGTAAGCGGTCCCAGCCAGGGGCAATTGCAGGGTTCCACAGAGCCCTGCGCTGTCGGCGTCCCTCTCTGAACCCTGGGCTGTGTCCTCACTCCAAGAGAAGATTGCGACAGACTTTTGTTGTCAGTGGGGGTGGATGTGAGAGCTGCCCTCGGCCTGCTACAATACGGGGGCGGAATCCAGACCCAGTCAGCTCCCTCCGTGGGAGGAGAGAGTTAACATACCAACCCCGGGGAGCTGGCCTGGCCTTCTGCATGGGGAACAATGGCAGATACCAGCATGGGAAAACAGTCCGTCTCGGTTGTCCTTATCATGGAAACGTGGCCAGGCCTGCCTGGTTCCATGTTACATCCCAGGCCTTGCCCATGGCTGGCATGCAGTAGGTGCTAATAAACAGTTACTGAATAAACAAATGCATAAAGAACTGCTTTTGCCACAAGCAGTGTGTTTTGTGGAGTGTAGACAGTGCTCAAATAGTCTGGTTATTGCCCTGGCCGGTTTGGCTCAGTGGACGGAGCATCGGCCTGCAGATGAAAGCATCCTGGGTTCGATTCCAGGTCAGGGCACATGCCTGAGTTATGGGCTCAATCCCCAGCAGGGGGCGTGCAGGAGGCAGCTGATCAATGATTCTCTCTCATCATTGATGTTTCTATCTCTCTCTCCCTCTCCCTTCCTCTCTGAAATCAATAAAAATACGTTAAAAAGAAGCCTGGTTATCCAGGTTTGAGTTGTAGACGTTGGGATCTCCAGTGTGCCGAAGTGCACTGTCTCTCTCGGGGGCAGCAAAGCTTTCCTCAGGTTCATGTGGCCACCGGCCTCCGTTTCTCTGGGTTCCTCACAGGAATGGGTCCTTGGGAGATGCTGTGCTTCGTCCGCTATGAACTGGCGGTCCCAATGCTCCTCTCCCCCTGCCCTGCCCCGACCCGGGGCTGCAGGGCCCGCAGGGCTGGGGAGAGGAGGTGCAGCGAGGCTCACTCCCTGGCTCAGCGATTCCCGCCAGGGACGTCCAGTGACTGCGCACCATGAGGTTTGGTTTTGGAAGCTCAAATTGTAAAACTGATCCTATTTAACCCAGGGCTCCCTGGTCTTTGTCTACTCTGCTCACACACTTGTATCTGCTTCCCCAGTGGCCAGGAGAATGAGCTGGTTCTAGGCAGCCCTTTACCAGGCACATGGAAGGGCCCAGAAGCCTGACACCTGACTGAGCAGTCCTGCTGTGCAGATTATCACAACCGAGGCCATTCGCAAAGGGGGAGGTGCTGGCACACGCGGGGCCAGGGGAGGCGGGCCCAGGCTCGCTGCCACAGGCAGCCCTGCTTTACCTGAACGAAGCTGAACTCCCTCCAGTTGAGCGAGTTTGCAATGGATGGCAGGGAGGTGACAGCCAGCAGGGACAACGTGCCGAGGGCCAGCACTCCCAGGGAGAGGTAGATCTCCATCCGCCAGACATTCTCTTCAACCCAGAGGTGACTCTTGTTGGTCAGGACCTGATGGGGATGGAAGGAGACGTGAACACCGGGCCCTGGGATGCGGCCAGCGGTCCCTTCAAATGCCAGACACAGAGTACGTCCACCCACACGCAACACGTGCCGGGCTGTGCTCTCAGCGCTCGCAGGTACCAGACCGTCTAAGTCTCACAGCCACCACGAGGCCGAGGTCTAAACGAGGCAAAGAGACAGAGTTCCTTCCCCAGGGTCACACCAGCTAAGAGATGGCGAGCTGGGACCGCGACCCAGGCAGACTGGCTCTGAAGACCTGGGCTCCCTCCCTTTGGCTCTCACTGATCTGCCTGGGCCAGCCAGCCCGACGGTCACAGGAGCCGGTGAGAGTCAGAGAAGTCAGCAGACAAGCAGACCCTGCGAACACGACCATCTCACCAAGTCCCCCAAAGGAGGGAGAAGCTCTCCTAGCTCGGAATCCCATCAGCCGGATGGACCCCTGTTTCTGCCACCTCTCTGACCCTTTGCCTTCCTGGTCCCCCAACATGCCCTGTCACTGCCTCGCACTCAGGGCACACAGAGACACATAGACCCTAGTGTCCCAGCTCCCACCTTCCCACCCAGATCCCCATTTCTTCTGGAGCCATGCGGCTTTGGCTTAACACTGCCAGGCCACAGGGACTGACACACACTCATCAAGCACCTATAAAGCACCTACTGTGCGTCACACCCTGGGCTGCAGAGAGCAAGGACACCTGTCCTCACAGAGCTCTGGATCCCCCTCTCCTCCTCCCCCAGGGATCCACGTGGGCCTGGAGATGTCTACCCACCTCCCCACCCAGAGTGTCTTTAGCTGAGCCTCCTCCAGCCCGGCTGACACGCAGGCACACAGCGTACACACGAGGAGCTTTTATAGAGGTCACTCCATTAGAAGTGCCCTTTCCCACCGCGAGCAGGTGGCGGGGTTCCTGGAAGTCAAGGTGTTCTCTGAGAAACTCTGTGACAGGCTGGTGCTTTGTCCACAGCACGAGGAAGTCTGCCCATTAGGAACGGTGATAATGCGTCAGCAGCCAGGCCTCTGCTTCGCACAACACCATGACTCACACAGGTTTTTGAGAAAGTGTTTCAGCAGGAAAATCAACCCAAGCCCAGCAACCAGATATAATATTGAAAAGTAATCTAATGGGCTGACAGAATGCTTGAGTAGCTTATGAGAGAAAGCATAAAAATAAAAAAAATAAAAGAAAATGCCACCCATTGGGTAATTTGAGAAAATGATGGCGCCTGTTCTCATTGAAAGGCAGGCCGGCCCACGTTGGGGTCTGTGAGCCTCAAAAGAACCAGGGGCCTGTGGACCCAGCTTCTCATCCCGACAAATCATGTGAGTCTGGGCCTCCTCCGTCCACCTGGGAGCGCTGGTGAGGTCACGGCTAAAACCCTGGGAGTGCTGCTAGCGGACTAGCTAGTAAGGTGGCTGACATTACCACGGAGGCAGATGGCGAAGAGGTTCCACTCACACCCTTGTGCACTAACAACCGCAAAGCCGTCCAGATGCAGGCCGTGCGCGGAGTTTGCTTCCTTAGCCACTGCCTTAGCACGGCGGGGAGGTCAGGCAGCTCCTTCTCCCGTCGGAGTTTGGATGATCACACACCCCCCACAGTTGCTTGCACAATGTCTTGTTTTTCCTCTAATACTTCCACTCTGCAGGGGTGCTGGGGAGGGCGGAGGGGGGGTCACGAGGAAGCAGTGGGTGGTGAAGACCCTGTGTGAGGATCTGGATCCAGCTCCCTTTCATAGCCTGTGAGTCTCGCCCAACCTACTGAACCCCAGTGCTGGACTCGGGGCTCCCAGTGACCAGCACCACACACGCTGGAGCACAGCTGACAGCTCCCCACTCCCCTAGGAGTTCCCTCCAGAACTAATCAAGGCAGCCACCTGGAGACTGATGAAAGCTGTTCATCAGCAGATGATACAGTGGTGGCGGCACTCACATGGATTTCCCTCCGCTGTAGGGCGCAGGGCCAGGAGGACCAGCGGGCTGCAGCTCCAGCCCCTCTCCGTGTCCCAAGGGTGGCTGACGGAAGGGACGAGAGTGGTGCCGACCCGCAGGAGGGGGAGGCTGGATGTGAAGGGGCAGCCTGCGGTGGTGGGGGGCCGGCCTCACAGTCCCAGGGCCTGGGTTCCATGCCCACTCTGCCGGGCAGTCGTGGGGCCCTGGCTAACGGCAGCGCTGTCTCTTTCTCACTGCGCTATCGCCAGGACTAAGAGGAGGCTGTTTGTGGCACAGTCACAGGTGACTGGCACGCAGCAGGTGACTGGTGCTCTTGTTCCAGTGAGAAGCGGGCAGGTGGGCTAGCTCTGTTCCAAGTCCCACACGGACTCCTCTGAAGAGACGCCTGGTGTCGGCTTTGTGTGGCCACGTTAACAACCAGCCACTCCGTGAACATAAGCCGGGAATCTGTGTCACATACATGGGCCTCCAGGGGTGAAGGCCCAGTTATGGAGGAAGACAGATGTGCAATGAGTGAGCACAGTGCTGCATGAGAAAGATCACAGAAGTGTGCACAGCGTGCCTGTGATGGGGGTGAGCATGGAGGATGGGGAGAAGGGCTGGGAGCGGAACAGCAGGAGGGTTTGGAAGGATGAAGAAGAGGTTGTCAGGCTGTCAGAGTGTCTTTAGGTGGGGAGCTCAGGCCAAGAGGAGGGAGCTTTGCCCAGTCACAGGACAGCGTGGGGTCTAGTGGGACGGGTCATGGGAGCAGTGGGGAGACGCGGCTGGGAGAGAGGAGGCTGCCTGCTGAACAGTCTGGTGCTACCCGAGGGCGGAGGGGCGTCGCTGAGCGCTTTTCAGCAGTGACAGGGGCAAATGTGAGTTCTCGACAGTTCTCTCTGACAGCCAAGATTAGACGGGGGCGAGGGGGAGAAGAAGGCTGTGTTGGCTAAACACTTCCTTTGATCTCAATCTTGAAATCCATTTTTAGGGAACCACACAGCACCTTAGGAAACACGGTGCAAATATTAGTTATTGTTCGTAGCAATACAGTCAATCAACATGGCCAGAGGTTTTCCCTGCAGCCGGGATGCAGCTCTGCCTCCAAGTCTGCGGGCTCAGGGGCTTGGCGGAAACCTTGCGGTCTCCAGAGCCCTGGCTGATGCCCAGCAGGGCAGCAGGATGGTGAATGTGCACCCAGCTGGAGGCCCTGAGGGGAGGCCCTGGGGGAGGCCCAAGGGCAGGATGGGAAAGCCACACTCCAGGCACTGTGTGACCGGCTGACCACAGGATAGCCCAGATGTCCAGTCTCGGCGCCTGAGAACAAGGCTGACCCGCAGACTCAGCATCTGTTAGGGCACCTCCAGACTAGGCAGCTCGCCACTCTCTGCTCCGCTCTGTTAACCCCGCCTTCCTCTACCCCCTCCTGACATCACCCTCCAGACTCTATGGACCAAGATTAGGCCCCTTTGTGTGACTGGCCTTCGCTACTCCCACTCAGAGAGGGATCCAGTCCTCTGGGAGCGATGGTTGCCTGGCAACCTCCACCAGGGCCTCCAGCCCTAAGGGCTTGGGAACTCAGGGAAACTGCGTGGCATGCGGCCCCCTGTGCCCTACCATTTGCATGTTGGCAGCACTGGGAGAACATCCTGTCAAGGAGAGCCTTGGCAGGGCGGAGAACTTAGGGAAAGGCCTTGGGAGGCAGTGTGTGGGGGTGGGGCAGGGGATTGCCTTGGGCTCTGGGGGAGGAACCTTGCCTTCTTCCCCACCCACTGCCTGACGTGCCTGCCACTCAGCTCTGCCACCTCCTGGGCAGCAAACAGGATGCCAGTCCCAGAGGAGCCGCACAGAGCCGCCCTTTTTAGAAGAAAATGTCATCAAAGAATCAAAAACATTAGCACTAGGGGAGACCTTGATCGACATCCACACGAGGGCCCTAGGACAAAAGAGGGGCTCTGGCCTTCAGTTTTCCCCTTCCTCTCAGTTCCAGCTTCTCTGCCTCAAGTGTGGTGTCCGCTTCTCCTACAAAAGGCCACGCCCACACATGGGTGACGCCAGGAGTCCGAGGGTGGGAAGGATGAGGGCGTTGGAGAAGTGCCAGCAGGGAGGCTGAGAATGAGACTGTGGTTCACAGGCCGTGACCCAGCCCCACCTCTCGGTCCTGCTCTGGGATGTGGCCCAGACAGTGAGGGGATGGCTGCGGGGTGTGTGTGTGTGAGTGTGTGTGTGTGTGTGTGTGTGTGTGTGTGTGCGCGCGCGCGCGCGTGCGTGCGCGTGCACCTGGGGAGGGTGCGGCCCCACCACCATCCCTGCACTCCCCCAGTCCGGAACAGAAACTGCAGGGACCATCGAGGCTGGAAAGAGGGATGGAGGAACAGTGTCCCATTGGCACCTGGGCCAAAGCTGTGAACCCATGCACTAGTCCAGAGGCAGAAGGTGGGACTGGGGAGGCTGGGGAACCGACAGAAAGACTGTGCCACTTGCAGACCTGAGCTTGCGCCCCGTGAGCTTGTCAGCCAGGAGGCAGCATCAGTGGCCTGTTCTGTGGGTCCAGGTGCAGCTTATGCTGCCTGTGATGCTCCCCGCCTCGGCCATAAAGGCCCCCATTGCTCAGGAATCCTGCTGGCGAGAACGCAGCCTTTGGGGTTCTTAAGTGAATGAATACTACCCCCATGACAAAAAATACCTTCTCCTGCAGCCATCCTCTCCTCAGCTGATGGCAACACCATTCCTCCGGGTGCTCAGGCCAAAGCTCAGAGTCCCCTGGACCGCCCCCTGTCCACCACAGGTCTGTGCACCCGCCTCAATGCATCCTGCCCCTCCACTGCCCGCTCCTCTAAGCCTTCCCTGCCTCTCACCTCGGCTCCCACACAGCCCCTACCTGTCCTCTCAGCCCCTACCTCCAACCACCTGTTGTGGATTCTGCACCTGCAGCCCGAGTGAGCCAGTGGAAACATCAGCGGGATCCTCATTCCTCCTCTCAGGGCCTCCGCTGGCTCCCTATGTCAGTGAGTCTAAGGCCGAGGCCCGCCCCCAGCCTCACAGGCTTTCCAGGTCTGGCTCCAATCCATCAGGCCTCACCTACCACCCCCTTCCTTGGGTCCAGCCACAAGGACCCGGCAGCCCACTACCCCCTACGACCACCCTTTACAGCTGTGCCCCACGGCTGTCCCCTGCCTGGTTTTTCTCCTTAGCTCCCAGACCTTCTAAAAGCACTCTGTAGCTTACTGCTGTATGTGCCCAAGTGCCCATGAGCCCAGGGACTTCCATAGTTTGTTCACGGATACTCAAATCTTGGCCAGCAGGATGTGGATTCTGCCGGATCAGGGCAGAATCGAGAGGCACACCGATTGGGCATGGACTGTGTCCCGGGCTTTACAAACCCTGCGGTCCCTCCGCCCTCCCACAGGCCTATAGCAGGTGCCATTGTCCTCATTTGTCAGGGGAGGAGACTGAGGCCTGAGCCTTTGCAGGCTGTCGCCTCAGCTCGGAGTGCCCTGCTGCTCACCGGGACTGGCGGGGCACACGCCGGGCACGGCTGGCCCTGGTGACAGGGACTTACCTGCTTGAGGGCGAGGTTGACGAGGTCGTAGCGGTAGGAGACGCGCACGGGCAGACACACGCTGTAGAGGGCGTGCAGGGCGGCGCAGAAGAAGCTGAGCAGCCCGATCTGCTTGCGGTGCTGCAGCCAGTGGTCCAGCCAGTCGGGGAAGCGGCGGTACTTGGTGCCGCGCCACAGCTGCAGGGCGGCCGCCAGGACGCCGGGCAGGTAGACCAGCGACAGCAGCACGTAGGCCACGCAGGGCAGCGACGTGTTGACCACGGACAGGGGCAGCTTGTAGAACTTGCTCTTGCCCTCCCGCACATAGGGCTGCAGCACGTCCCGGGTGAGGTTGTAGGCGTAGAAGAAGACGAAGAGCCCCAGTGCCAGGAGGACGGGCACCTTCCAGCTGGGGAAGAGGTGCAGCGGCCGGGCCTCCACCTCCCGGGCCGCGGCCAGGGACCCCACGTCCACGGGCGTGAAGCCCATGGCGTGCGCCAGCTCCGAGACGACGCGCTTGGCTTCTGGCTGGTCGCCGCAGATGGGCACCTGCGGGGGGGAGGCGAAGGGGAGTCAGACCGCGTCACAGGCCACTGGGGTGGGCAGAGCCTCAAAGAGCATCGAGGCCAAACTCCCCGCTGAGCAGCTGAACACCCGAGGCCCAGCAGTGCCAGTTAACAATGTGGCTGGGCACAGAGGTGGCTCTGACACCCAGGCCTGTGTAGCCTCCCAGACTCTGGCCCAGCAGTGCCCACTCTTCAAGGAGAGCACCGCCCCCCCCCCCCCCCCCCCCCCGGCAGTGAGCGTGCTGCCCAGGTCATTGCCATCAGCCTCCAAAGCACAGTGCTCACCTCGGCCGGCCCTGTGGGGCCTGGGGATAGTGCTGGGACTGTGCTCTCCAGGGCTGTGCACTTGGCAACTGGGCTGAACATGCAGCTGGGAGTGCAGCTCTACCCCAGTCCAGAGGGTCCCTTCGGATCATGTTCTTCAGCCATTAGGACCCTCAGCCAACACACAGCCAGCCCTGCACGAACTCACATGCACGCTCCCTGATTTTGTTCCTAAACCTTCCATGGGCCTGGTGACCCCGCTGTGGTCAGCATGTTCTACCAACACCGACTCGGCATAAACTGTGTCCGGGCTTCACCCCTGCCCGGTTCCATTGTCCCCATTTGTTCGGGTGAGGAAACTGAGGTCTATGACTTTGCAGGTTGCCTTCTCGGCCCGAAATGCCCTGCTGCTTCCTATGCATAACATGATGCGGGTAAGAATAAGAACAAGGCCAAGGTTGACCTCAAAGTCTTCCTCAGCCAGCCGCTAGCTCTCTTTCCTCCAAGCCCTGCCACCCCACACTCACCCACGGTTCCTGGCCTGTCCACATGGAGCCCTAGGAGGCAAGCTGCACAGAGGCCGCTGCAGACAGGCGTGGCCTGGCCCCCGTGGGCTCTCCCCGGCCTGGCAGGCAGCTCTGCAGCAGCGTCTGGCCTGACCACAGCGGGGGGAGTTCTCACACATACGTGGGTCCTGGCTCCTTCCTCCAGGAAAGTGCCTGGCCTCCTGGTATTAAACACTACCTTGTCTTGGTAAGAGCTCCTCCTGCCAAGAACTGGGAACAGCTCGGCCGTTCTCTGGAGCCATTTCCACCGTCAGAAAAACCTGCTAGAGACCGTTCTGAGAAGCCCTCTCAGTGCTGGGAAGCCCCCTGAATAAATGGGTGACACTGTGGGATATACACACTTCCTCAGGGCTTGGCACATACGTGTGTGCCTTTCCTTTGTCTGAGTTCAATTCTAAAAGCAAAGCTTCTTCCCTTCTTGACTCTAAACATAAAAAGAAAGCCATTGGCTGGAGGAGGTTAATGGGGGGATGGGGAAGGAAGGCATATGTAATACTTTCAATAATAAAGAATTATTTAAAAATAAAAAAATTAGACAAGCCATCAACCTTTTCTTCCTAGCTCCCTAGGTAAGCAAGTTACCATAGAAAAAAGAATGTGGATTTCAGGTTCACAGGAAATAGGTTCAAATTCCAGATGGCCAACTGTGGGACCCGGTGTAAATTCATCAATATCTCTGAGCCTCAGTTTCCTGTCTGTGAACTGGGACTCCCGGTGATGTGAGACAAGCTGAGACAATGAGCACGAAGAGCCTTGTGTGCTGAGGGCCCACAAGGAAAGCTAGCCATTACATTTACCGTCACGATGGTTGTTACACCCCCTCTTCTCCCCTCACTCCCCGCACCTACCTGCCTGTTCCCATCCCGTGGGCCAGCCTGCAGGGTCCAGGCAGAGATGACGTTGAAGGCCTTGACCACCGTGCAGGTGGGGAAGAGGGCGGCCAGGTACTCGGCGTTGGACTCGCGGAGCTGCAGGTGCTCCTGCTCTGTGGGGTTGCTCACATCCACCAGGATCTTGCCGGCCAGCTGGCCGCTGAGCCCACACAGCGAGGAGTAGTGCTCCCGGAACACGGCCACGAAGATGACCTCAGAGGACTCGACCGCCTCCGCCTGGAACACCACTTGTGCTGCCGAGGGGAACAGCCCAGCCGTGCGTTTGGGGTTGCGGCTTCCCACCACCACGCTGAAACCAGAGCGCACCAGGCGTGTGGCCAGGGACCGGGCAAAGTCCCCAGTGCCCAGGATGCCCACTTTGGGGGCCCCACTGGCAGCCTCGGCTAGGCTGCCATCACTGTCCACCAGGCGACGGCTGATCAGCGGCTTGTCCATCTCTCCTGGCGTACTGATGGCTGGAAGAGAAAACAGAGACCGGGTCAATGGAGGGCTCCTGGACTGCCCTTCCTGTCAGCTCTGTCTCTCGTCACTGCATGGTGGTCAAACATTCACCCAACAGGACTCATGGGCACTAAGCGGTGCCAGCATGGAGCAACAAGCTGGGTGAGACCCAGCCCCTCCCTGAGAAGTGCACATGTGCAGGAAGAGGAGGGGGAAGGAACTCTGTCCTCCACCCTTTGTCTTTCCTACTGAATTATTTCTTTGGGACAAACACGCAAGAGTGAGAGTGCTGAGTAAGGAGGGCATGGAATTTCCCATACTGTGCTAGGCAATGCCATGCTCATTTTCAAAGGAACATGTGGTGGGCAGTGTTACTATCCATAGTGACTGTTGACCTCAGCCTCACCATCGCTGGTTTTATCTTAGATTACCAGGAAGGGCAGGTGTGTTCCTCTGCTCGGCTACATTTTGCATTTGGAATAGTTCCTCTGATGCTCTCCTTAAGTAGATGGCGAAGAGCTCAAAGGCAAGGACCTCATCTTATGTGACTTTGGAGCTCAGACTTGTCATAGGGCTGGTGCTCAATATTTGCTGAATGAATGACTACTGCAGTGCTACCCGAGGAAAGGGAGGCTGGGTCATGACTTTGAATGGGATCTCCCTCACTGAGCCTGAGGGATGAGTGGACATGGATGAAACCCTGGACTTGACCCAGGAGTTAACAGAAGCTTATTGGGAAACATTACATTTTAATTGTTACCAAATCCTAACTGGAATGTGCTATTTCCTTATGCATGAAAGTAAGCAGCAAACCACAATAGTATTCACAGTGAGCTTGTCACCATCCTTGACCTATGTGACAGCACAAATGTAATTGTGAAAGTTTTCCAAATACTGCTTAAACTAATCACTAAGTTAAAATCATCACAAAGAAGAGCACCTAAATATATAAAGCGAATATTAGCAGATCTGAAGGGAGAAATCAACAGCAATACAGTTCCCACTCTGGACAATAGATAGATCACCCAGACAGAAAACCAGCATGGACACATCGGACAGCCCTGCAGCCTCCTCATGTGTAATGGAACATTCCTCAGGACAGACCATTTGTTATGTCACGAAACAAATCTTAACAAATTTAAAAAGACTGAAATCATATCAAGATTCTTTTCTGACCACAACAGTATGAAACTAGAAATCAATAACAGGAAGAAAACTGGAAACTTCACAAGTATGTGGAAATTACACAATACACTCCGAACAACCAATGAGTCAAAGAAGAATACAAAGAGAGAGAAAAAATATTCTGAAACAAATGAAAATGAAAACCAAAAACTTATATAATGCAGCAAAAGCAGTTCTAAGAGGGTTATTAATATTTTAGTGACTATATTAAGAAAAACAAACACACTCAAACAATTTAACTTTACACCTCAAGGGACTGGAAAAGGAATACAAACTAAGTCCGAAGTTAGCAGAAGAAATAAAAGATCAGGGTGAAAATAAATGAAACACAGGAGAGAAAAACAGTAGAAAAAAATCAACAAAACCGAGAAGTGTGTTTTTTTTTTGAAATCTCTAAGGGAGCTGGTTTTCCCTCAGTCTATGACAGTGTAAACGTTACAGGCAGTGAGACATGTTTGTTTTTAATTGAAAAATCTTCAGTGAGACTAAAAAAGGGGAGAAAAAAGTAAATAAAGTAAAAAATGAAAGAGGAGAACCCTAGCCAGTTTTGCTTAGTGGTTAGAGCATTGGCCTACAGACAGAAGGGCCGCAGGTTCAAGTCCAGTCAAAGGCATGTACCTCGGTTGCAGCTTGATCCCTGGCCCAGTCAGGACTTGTGCAGGAGGCAACCAATCAATGTGTCTCACATCGATGTTTCTCCCTTCCACTCTCTCTAAAAATCAATGGGAAAAATATTCTCGGGTAAGGATTAACAAAACAAAATTTAAAAAAATAAACAAATAAGTGGAAAAATTACAACTAATACTATAGAAATATAAAGAATCATAAGAGACTATATAAACAATTATATGCCAATATTTGGGTAACCCAAAAGAAATGGATAAATTCCTTAAAAAAACATACAATCTTCCAAGACTGATCATGAAGAAACAGAAAATCTGACAGGCCAATAATGAGTGATGATATTGAATCAGTAATTTAAAATCTCCCAACAAAGAAAGGGCCAGGACTGATGTCTTCACTGGTGGATTCTACAAAATATTTAAAGAAGAATTGATGCCAGCCATGGCCTGTTTTGTCCAGTGGTTAAAGCACTGGCCCTTGGACCCATGGGCCATGGGTTTGATTACAAGAGCATATATCTCAGTTGCAGGTTCCCCAGCTCTGGTAGGGGCATGTGTGGGAGGCAACCAATCAATATATCTTTCTCACATCAATGTTTCTCTCTCTGTGTCTCTCCCCCTCCCTTCTACTCTTTCTGAAATGGAAAAATATCCTTGAGTGAGGATTAGCAACAACAACAACAACCACACACACACACACACACACACACACACACACACACACTCACACACACAATTAATGCTAGTCCTTCTCCAACTCTTACAAAAAATAAGGAAACTGTAAGAAAAGAAAGTTACAGGACAATATCTCTGATGGAAAAAAATCCTCAACAAATTTCCTAGCAAAAAAATTAATAGCATATTTAAAAATCCTGTAGCATGATCAAGTGGGATTTTATCCCTGGCATGCAAGGATGTTTCAACATCTGCAAACCAATAAATGTGATATACTCCATTAACAGAATTAGGGATAAAAATCTTATGACCGTCTCAAGAGATGTAGAAAAGAGCATTTATCCTTTCATGATTAAAAACTCCTAAGAAAAATAGGTATAAAAGGTATGTATCTCTTATGTCGACGTAAGATTTGATGAAGAGTCAGAATATCATGTTAAGACAAAACGCTCAAGTGACCTTTAAAGTAGTGTTCTCTCTCTATATGGGTAATAGGATGTATTGGATTCCTCAGTGACTGTCAAATGCTTTATGGCTATGGAAATATACTGGGTTCACATCTCTTTGAAAAAAAAAAAAAGGTATGTACCTCAACATAATAGAAGCCATATATGACATGTCCACACCTCACATCATCCTATAAAATAAAGATGTAATATGAAAATGGTCATTATGCCATGAAACATAATGACCGATCATGTAACAACTGGATCACGGATCAGCAGGAGGGCAGGGCAGTGAGCTACAAGCAGGTGGCAGAGAGCTACAGGAGGGGGCAGGACAGCAAGCTATGAGGGGGGTGTGGGGGAGAGCTACAGCAGGACGGCAGAGAGCTACCAGGCAAGCTACTGGTGCACGGATTCCTGCACAGGGCTACTAGTATTATGATAAAAAGCTTTCACTTTAAGATCAAGGATGCCTACTCTTGCCACTTCTATTCAACGCAGTACCAGAAGTTCTGGCCAGAAAAATCAAACAAGAAAAAAAAAAAAAAGGCATTCCAATTGAAAAAGAAGGAAAATTGTCACTAGTTGCAGATGACTTGATACAGAAAACCCTAAGGACTCTACCAAAAATTTGTTAAAGCTAAAAAAACTAATTCAGTTAAGTTGCAGGATACAAAACTCAATGTAAAAAAAAAATCAGTTGTAGTTCTAGACACTAATAACGAACTATATGAAAAAGAAATTTTAAGAAATCTCATTTCCAATACCATCAAACATAAAATAAAATAAAAAAATACTTAGGAATAGATTTAACCAAGGAGGTGAAAGACCTGTACACTGAAAACCATGAAACATTGATGAGGGAAATTGAAAAAATAAACACATTAATAAATGAAAAGATATCCGTGTTCATGGATCAGAAGAATATTGTTAAAATGTCCATAATAGAGTTCAAAACACTATTAAAATTTCAATTACATTTTTTACAAATATAGAGAAAATAAACCTAGGATTATATAAGACTGCAAATAGCTAAAGCAATCTTGAACAAAAACAAAGCTGGAGGCATCATACTCTCTGATTTCAAACTATATTACAAAGCTATGATAACCAAAATACTGGAATAAAAATAGACACATAGACTAATGAAACAGAAGAGAGAGCCCAGAAATAAACACACAGATAAGGTCAACTAATCTTTGACAAAGGTGCCAAGAATACACAATGGGGAAATGACACTCTCTTTAATAAATCGTGTTGGGAAAACTGCATATCCTCACGCAAAAGAATGAAATAAAACCTTTATTTCACAGCATACAAGAAATACAACTCCAAATGAATTAAAGACTTAAATATAAGACCTGAAACTATGTAATTCCTAGAAGAAAACATGGGGAAAAGATCCTTGGCCTTGATCATGAATTTTTTGGGTTTGACACCAAAAGCACAGGCAAACAAATGTAAAACCAAACAAGTGGGACTACATCGAACTACAAAGTCTTGCATAGCAAACAACAATGTGAAAAGACAACCTGTGGAAGGGGAGAAAGTATTTGTAAATAAGTTACCTGATAAGCTTATATCTTATACACCCAGCTATATGTATCTGATAATATCCAAGAAACTTATGTGTATACAATTCGACAGTTAAAAAAGAGACAAATAAATGGGCAAAGGATACACATTTTTCCAAAGAAGAAATACAAATGGCCAATAGGCACATGAAAAGACAACCAGCAGCACTAATCATCAGGGCAATGTAAACCAAAACTCAGAATTTTCATCGAAAAGTCAAAAGATAATAAATGTAAGCAAAGATGAGGGGAAAAGGGAACCCTTGTGCGCTGTTCACAGGAATGTAAGTTAACACAGACCATATAGAAAACAGTATGGACGTTCCTCAAAAAATTAAAAATAGAACCATCATATGAGCCAGTAATCCCTCTTCTGGGTATTTTACCCAAAAGAAATAGAATCACTATATATATATTTAAAATATTTTATTGATTTCAGTGAAGAAGGGAGAGGGAGAGAGAGATAGAAACATCAATGATGAGAGAGAATA